AATCAGTCTATTCCATTATCCATAGACAGTTTATGTCTATAGACACAGTGACCTTTTCAGATGAACTATAACTTGTTAGTTTTAGTTGCATAAAAAACAAACAATAAAGAATTATTTGTGATTTTTGTTTAAATAGAGAGAGCAAGAACAACCCAATATTTTCTACCACAACAATTGCAACAGTCGCAAATGCATCCGTCTACGATATCTAAATCAATTATAATCATATTACTGTCATATAACTAGTCTGGCCATAAATACTGTTACATAAAAACTTATCTTTTTTTTCAACTTTTTAATTATTTTGAATTTGGAACACGTTTATTATTTTAAAAACTTTTTTCAATTTCGCGCCATTTCGCATATTTTTTCGTGTTCATTATCAAATTACAATATGGATGGGGGTGTTAAAGAAAATAAGTTTTCAGTGATCTCCTTGCACAAAGTGGGTATAAAGCCGTCGGTCATATTCCAGTCACTTCAAAAGCTTGGTATTAGCCGTATGTTTGTATATCATACTATCAACAGATACAACACTTCCTCTGTCGAAAACCAGAAAAGATCCGGCCGGCCGCGTGCTGTTACTACTACTGCAACGGTTGTTGCATTAATGCTGTTAAAGCCAGAATTAATCGAAACCTCATTAGGTAGCAAAAAATCTTATCACGAGAAATGAAGATGCCCGCTAGGACTCTGTCTCGTATTATAAAACAAGACCTGAAGCTCGGTGCTTATCGTCAATATACAGGACATGCCCTAAATCAACCTTTGCAATTAAAGAGAGTGTATCGATTAAAACGCATTCTGTCGCGATACGCAGGTGAAAGGTACAAAAACATCCTCTTTACCGATATAAAAATTTTCACGGTTGAAGAGCACTACAATAATCAAAATGATAAAGTATATATTTTGTGAAAAAGGAATGAAAACTTCAGTCAAAGTGGATCAAGATACAGTGTTGGATCGTGCTGTGAAACCTCTCAGCAATACACTTTTAAAAAATATACCGTGGACTTTCCAGCAGGACTCTGTATCTGATCACAAGGCACAAACTACCCAAGCCTGGCTTAAAATCAACATTCCAGACTTTATAAGAGCTAAAGACTGGCCCTTATCTAGCCCAGGTCTCAACCCTTTAGATTTCAAATTTTAGTCAGTTTTAGAGGCTATGGCCTGCTCTAAACAACACGGCGACATTAAGTCTCTTAAAAAAAGCAAAGAGCAAGCAGTGGCGAAATTTCCCTTGAGAACAGGGCGTAAATCCATAGATTCGTGGCCAGACAGATAAAAGGCCTGTATAAAAGCCAAAGGTAGCCATTTCGAATAGAATATTTTTTTTATTTTTAGCTGAAACTTTAATAAATATGTAGGTATAAATTTTAGTTATGTTGCATTACTTCATAAAAAAAAATGCTTGGCTGGACTAGATATATACATTATGTGATATTTGTTTATTTAATTGTATTATATTATCATTTGATTTTATTGGCTAATTTAATATCAAACTATTCCCAACAATAAATGCCCTTAATTTGATCAAAAATGGGAGCATGAAAGAAAAACATATTACACAACACTTCAGGAAGTGTGGTAAATAAGCCTATGCAACAAAATGAAAGCTTGGCGTTATCGCAATGTGATAAGAAACAAATTAGTGGGCTCTGACATAATTATCGGTATTGATTGGCTACTAGTCTGCACTTTTGTGATACTACATTACCAAAATAATAACAAGGTTAGCCATAATCAATATACTAAGCCCAAATTCACTGATTAAATGAAATGTTCAAAAAATTATTGTATAGCAGAGTTATGTTATTTCTATTGATTTTATTAACATTTCATTCATTTTCGTGTTATATATCTATTCCAAATTAGTTTATAATTTTATAATAAAGCGAGTGAAAATATAAAAGAGTTTCCACTCCAAAATCCTCATTACAATATTTATAACTCAATATTGGTCAAAGCAGCGCTTTCTGTGTTTTACCTTAAAAGCGTCGAATTATGTTGACATCAAACGCCTAATACGATTTATTATTTTGATGAAATATTCTTATGGATTTATTTATTTATTCTATATATTATTGCATCAGATATAAAAATATGGATTACAGTAAATAACTTCAAAGAGTTTTTTACATTTCCTAATATTCTCGATTGCGTAAATATTGCGTATAGAAAAAAAATTGTGCATTAAATAGTGTTATATCATAATGAAAACTATCTTAAAACCATGGAAAATAAGTTGTAAAACTATGTCAATTATAATTATGTATTTGTATTGTCACTAAATAAATCCATTTCAATTTTATTTAAAAACATACGAATACATTCCGAAACAAATAAAATGTTATTGAAAAAACAGCTTTTCAACTCGTATCTCACATTGATGAATATGAGACCATTACCATCTGAATGATTTATTCACGTTTTGAAGTATATCTTTTCGTATTTTCTACTTAATACTGCTGGGACTATTAACGTACAATTTTGCATATAATTTTTAAAAGATAACTTAAAAGCCTTGCATTAAAAATTGTGATTCCCGGAATTCTTTGAGAACAGGAGAGAGAAATTGTGCGCAAGCATAGTGAGGAGATACAGTTATAGATATATAAAGAGAGTTACAGTTATAGAAAAAAAAGATTACTGTTAGTGCCCTTTGCCACAAAGAATTTCTAGGCCATTTTCGTTACATAATAAAGCAAACGAGAAACTAACCAACACCCAACCGAAACTACTAGACTTAATAACACGAAATTTTGCACAAAGGTTCCTAAACATTTCATAGATATCTAATAGCACTAAGAAGGGATTTACGAAAACACCTAAGAGGACCAGGAGATTGAAGTCCTAACAACTAGTCATATTGTAAAAGCGAAATGTGTTTAATTTTATTTAGTGAAATTAGTGACTTTAGATAAAAGCCGCAATTTCCCATTCTAAGCTCAGTGGCTTTGTTTCTGATTGAGCTTTAGGCTGACTTAGCTACCCGCGTTAATTGTGTGATCTGGAGCTTTGTTTACGGTCCCATCGAGGCCATTGATTTGGAGACAAAAGTTCTACAACTACGTCGCAACATTGGAACAGTCTTTGGTACCTTAATGATTTTACAGCTGACACATAGAGCCTCTATAGAGAACCATGACGAGAGTAAACTCTTTCGTTTAAAAAAAGAATAATCAAAATCATTAACAATTAACGGATATAAAGAGAAATATAAACACAAAAAAACAGACGAATGGAGAATCTCCTCCTTTCTTAAATTAGACTACTAGGGGAATAGTCATATTCCTTAAGGAATACCCAGTTATGTATTCCTACTTTTTTTCCATATTAAAAAGAAACTATATAAATATGATATGTTAAATAGCAGGTAAATAACTATTGTGTACAGTAAGGAATGAGAAAAATATTATAAGAAGTATAAATAATGTAAACTTGCTGTTCCGAAGTATATTTTAGAAAAAGTTTATGTCTTTTTTTATGGGAATGGACATTAAATGTTAAAATAAGATATGAAATTATTTTTGATTTAATTTTTAGTTAAGTTAAAATTATTATTAAGAGACATCTATTGAACAAAACCAAACACACGCTTATTACACACCATGCACGTTTGTCGTTCAAGTAATCGTTTGATTACTTGAACATGCATGATGTTAGTCGACCACGCACGGGCTTTTTTCATTAAAAATGGTCATTGCCATATAATTTTACAGATAACAACAACAGATTTATAAAAAATGATGATTTAAAAGTATTTGTAAATAAGTCTTTATGAATAAAGATTATTTGAATTTGAATTGTCGCAATTTGCACCTGCACGCTTGCTATATAGAGTCGATAATAGTCCATTTTAGAAACGCATTTACACATAAGCAAAAAGGTCCATTAGGGTTCTAAGTATATAAGCAAACACTAGCAATAAGTTCTAATATATAACAGAAAGTATCTATGTCATCAAATTTATACAAGCTAATAGATCTCAGCTCGTTGCAAAATTTTCAATCTCTCCAATAAATGTTAATTAAAATTTAATTCCATCCAATTCACCTTACAGCAATAAATTCCGCTATCGTATCTAAAATCGGGACACTTACCATTTAATAGCTATATTAATTAACGTAAATTCACGAAAAATATTTAGTAACCTTGAAGGCTGAATGAGCACGAATAGAATTTGTAAATAATAGTGACGTACACTCAGTGAACTGTAAATGAATAATTTACTGGTCATTAATTTATCTTCGAGCTATATATAAATATAACTTAACAGAGATTATTCAATTAAATTCACCCATATTTTCTTCTTTATAGTGCACTTCACTTAATAGTGGTATATATTAACTTCTAAGAAAAATAGATATTTTGTGTAAATAGATTAACAAATCAAAGATCAGATATATGTACTTTGAATGTAATCATTAAAAATATCGAAAAACTGAACAAAATTAATTAATATTTAGTAGGGGTATGTATTATCTATATTATTATATTAAAATATCTATATATTGTAGTTATAATATCTATGTATTAGGCCAATAGCGAATATGTTAAATATCACTTATTCAATATATAATATTAAAATGAAGAACCCGATCGAAGTTACTCGTATATGTAGTCAACCTGTGTGGAAAATATCGAAATGGGTAATGACCTTTTTATTTGGCATCAATGTGCAAACGAACCTGGTATATAGATATCGGAGCGTCACCAATATTACTTTATTTTTTATTTTTAGGAAGACAAACGAGCAGACAGACCACCTAATAGAAAGCAGCTACCGTCGTTTATAAACAACTTCAACACGAGAGGAACTTGTGCGTGCGTTGCCAGCCTTTTAAATATTTGTAAGGACAAAACAAAGAAATATCTAAGATCTACCTTTAAAAAATTTTGAATTTGGTTTTCCCTGCTTACTTTCTAAATAAACTGGCTTTTATTTTATTTAAATTTAACTGATTTATATATATAGTTAATCAAAATTAACTTACCAATAAGCTAACATATCCATGTATACTGTTGTAAGCTTCAATAATGTCTCTAAAATCTCCCTCGCAGTATCCGCATGTGTCTGGCTTCAATGTAAAATTTAGATGCCTCTTCGCATCTTTCATCATCTTAACCAACACAGTTTCGAAGTTATCATTTCCTCCATTCTTGGTAGCCTGTTCCCGTAGCATGGATAGTATCTGAGTTTCATTGATGCTACTATCCGACGAATCCCCAGACGCAGCGAGAATTTCTTGGAATATATCCAATAGAGTCTGTGATTTGTTTGACATATTTATTTGCTTTATCGGACCACCTGCACAGTCTAATATTTTAGCTGTAACGAATATTTCTTCAAAAACCAATTCTTGGTGGACCAACATCCATTATGACATCTGAAACAAAAATTATTACATTCATTACTTATATACTAAAATAAAAGATATATTATTATACGAATAACAACAACATTTACATTTCTTTTTTAAAACCGTGATTCGCTTTTCATTGTTCACTTAATCAAAGACGAATACGTGATAACATGTACTTGAAATATTTTACTGGAAGCAATTTTCCCGAGATTTTATCGAGAGCAGATGGTTATCTAGATTGCTAAAATTTCTATATCACAAACACTGCTCGTTAAGAAAACTGAACATTTTTATTTTTATTACACTGAACATATAGAGGTACAATTATTTTCACTGGTTTTTGTACTACATAGGAATAGCAATCTAGTTAACGACTTCCCTTACGATAAGTAGTAACCGTAGCTAATATAAATATTACAGTATGATGATATTTATATAATTATTTTAGTAGATGGCATGCACTTATAGGACCCATATGAATCTAAGACCTATCACACCTAAAAATGAAGGCTTCCTGTTTCAGGTGCAACAAGCCTTAGATTAGTTTTTCATTATATACTTTTTAATCTCAAAGATATGCTACGATCATATTACATGGGAGCTTACAGCTGAAGACACCAGTATATTTCAGAAGTTTTTATGACAAATCGTTTACTTTATCTACCTAATTTTAGAACAAAAGTTAAGGACTTTTATCTGAATGTGTTGTCATATTTGTAATTTGTATCTGATTAGCATATTCACATTATTTTTATTCTTACTTTTGTAACTACATATTTATGTGTATTGGTATGTGTATGAATTTGTATGCCTATGGATGAATTTAAGTATCAACAAACAACAACTGCTGAATATAAGCCTTTTCATTCCCACGGGGAATTTTTCTAGTAGTTTCCACTGACCGTGTGGTCCCGGCATAGAACAGCCCACCCTTTCGTTTCCTGTGGGTGTCATAAGAGGCAACTAGAGGTACTTAATGATAGAGGGATGGAGAGCAGCTTCTCTTAAAACATCTCTGAAAAACTAAGTATGTTAAAATATACATACTATTGTATGTATATTTTAACTTCAACATTCATATTATTGTATGTATTATATCTCTATAGATTTACAGTTTGGCAAAGATTTAGGATGTGTATTATCAAAAAACCTATCACAACAAGTAATAAATAATTGTTTTCCGGTATCAAGTTTATACAATGTTATGAGAAAAATTATAAATGAGAACTATGATAAATATACTACTCTATACGCGTTAGGAAATTGTCTTCGCGTACACAAATCCGAGATTGTGTAATTAATAGACTGTTTGTATAATATAGCTAAGCTGGGTAAAGACAAAATAATATTATGTGTGTTTCCCTACTCTCACTCACTTAATACACAGCAAAATAAGTTCATTCATAATATTCATAATTTAATGTATACAATAACATATTATATATTATAATATAATTATAATGATATTTTATTTTATTTTTCAATAAATTGAATTGGTCTATCCTTTTGAATATTATAAAATTGGTAGTTTTTTGTCACTATAAATAATGCTATTCATGGAGATTCAATATTATAAAATTGGTAGTTTTTTGTCACTATAAATAATGCTATTCATGGAGATTCAATATTTTTTTTTTAAAATAATATAAAAATTAAAAATTGAAAGGACATTGAGCATATCTCCATTGAACAAACGGTTGAAGTATCATGTGTAGAACTAGAAATCTCTCCAAAGGTTGCCTGGGAGACATTGTTCTTAGCGATAAGCCAGCCCATTATTTTCTTAGTGTAACCTTGTAATTATTTGTATTATAAAGTTTACTAATGTAAACTTTTAGAGAAACAATAAAGAATATCTATCTACATAAAACTAAAGTAGTTTTATGCTTCTTTCTACTCTTTTTTATTGTAAAATGTTACTGATTATTATTTCTACATGCGACCTGTTAAAAGTATTAAATAAATACAATAAAATTGATATCTTAGCAATTTTGAAAAAAAAAAGAGAATATTATAAATTCAATTGTTTTTGTTTATAAATAACTTCGACATTGCTTCGTTTCGATATGAACGCTCAAATTTCACTCAGAATTCGTGACATAATATTTGAATAAACGCTTTGATAGACATTTTGCATTAAATAGAAGTATTAATCAATTATAAGAAATACTCAAATCTTTATATTTTTATTCCAATAAAGAACTTACAACTTTTCAACAAAAATATGATTCGACAATCTCATATTATTCAAATATGAAATTTATTTTTTATACTTTAAACATATATTATGTTGGCAAACATTTTATTGTAATATTATCCAATAAGTAAATAAGCAGCAATGCATGTATCAGTCTATCTTAACACAAGAAAATTTCACATTCTCAAGTAAGAACATTAATGAGAGATGCCGTGACCATCATAGTTTTAATTTGTGATCTTCGCAGCCTTGTTTAATATAGAAACGATCGTTATCACTTCATTAAACTTGGCATCAGCATATTTACATATATTACATAATATACAAATAGGTATAATGTGTTTATAATGCGTGGTTGGAACCTTGCAACACGTGTTAACCTAGCCCTTAATAAGGCGACAGGCGACATTAGGGACAGTTTATGAGTGTATTGTCTATCATCTTATAAAGGGACTAAATTACTCACACCTTAAGTCGAAGTTGTTTAATCTTATATGTGAGAAATAAAATGCACGAATTATGACAAATTTTGAGTCACAAAAAATCTACTTCTAAGGTGATAAAACCGGTAATTTTGATCTAAAAACTAAAGAATTGAACAAAATTATTGATTTGATAAAAAAATTTATGGCACCAATCTGTAAGTATATTCTTTCAAATACAAAAAGACTTATCCAAAGCGTTAAATTAGAATATAACCAACCCATGCACCAAATTTTATCCAAATATATTCAGCCATTTAAGCATGCCTGAATAACAAATATACATCCTCACAAACATTCACAATTACAATAGAAACAGGTTTACAATACGAGTAATAACACTCGTAGGATGAAGTAGGTAGTAGAATACCATCAAAACCACCTTTATATTTATACTTTTAGGGACAAAACTTTGAAAAATTCTTTCTTATTACTTGTATAGGTCATAATAGGTACTTTCTATCAACATTTAGTAATTCTAACTTTAGAAGTTTCAGCTATGCGTTGATGAGTCAGTCAGTCAGAACTTTTCTCCTTATAATATAGTATACGAGGTTTGTCCGGAAAGTACGTATAAAAGTTTTTTAAAAATTTTATTTTACAATTATTCAGGTAAATCAATTTTATCCCCTTCAAAGTACTCCCCCTGTGACATAATGCACTTGTGCCAACGCCGTTTCCACTGTGAGAAGGCTCCTTGAAAGTCCTCTGGTTGTAGGTTTCTCAGCTGCCCCGTCGTAGCTTTTTTTATCTCATTTATGTCCCCCAAATGCCGCCCCCGAAGTACCAATTTGGTTTTTGGGAACAAGAAGAAGTCACACGGGGCCAAATCCGGCGAATAGGGGGGTGTTCGGTCACCGTAATGGAATTTTTACTCAAAAACTCACGGACAACAAGAGAGGTGTGGGCAGGGGCATTGCCGTGGTGAAGAATCCAACGCCCCTCTCGCGCCAATTCTGGACGAACTCGTGCCACACGAGCTTTGAGGCGTCTGAGCACATCGACGTAGAATTTTCCATCAACTGTCTGGCCTGGAGGGACGAATTCGTCGGAATGTGAAGTGGAAGGACGTCCTGAACGTGGGTCATCTTGAACGCTTTCTCGGCCCTCTCTGAATCTTTTTAGCCACTTGTGGACGGTTGGTTCCTTCACAGCATCATCCCCATAAACTGTTCTGAGATCGGCAAAAATTTCACGGCCATTCTTGCCGAGTTTCGAGAGAAACTTGATTACGACGCGCTGCTCTTCAACGGAAGCGGGCTCCATGCCGACGGGGTTTCGTTAAGAGGTAACTTCACAGATGGCGTGACAAGCCAGTTCGCACCGCACGGCGGTCAGACCAGAACTGAAGCATTGTTAGGGACATAAGGAAGGGGTCCTGCGCTTACCTGGCCTCCCCACTCCTCTTTCTCGCATTCCAGAACACTTTTATACGAACTTTCCGGACAGACCTCGTATAAGTATAGATATATTTATTTATACTTTCTCGCAAATCTAATAATATGTATTATATATATAATTCCAAAAAATGTATAGAAGGCAATCTAAGACTTTTCTTCCAAGAAACCCAAAGTGATGAAACATGAATGTCGGTGTACAATATGTAACAATTTATCACAATATGAAAGATTAGTATTTATTTCTTATTGCGATATTGTATATCAAGGCCCTGAGTAAAAATAACACAGATGTACGTTAGATAACTTTTTTCACAATTTTTATTATTTTTGCCTAAAATTATGTAAATGAGTGATCAGAAATTAATGAAAGGTATGAACAGAAAACAATATACCCAACACAGTATGAAACCGTAGTACTGCAATATTATATGGTCTCAGCTTTCAACCAAAAGGAAGCATTTGAAGGTCTACAAGTTATATAACAGTACCTAAATATTAATAGAAGCCTATTTATTGTTCCCTTATTACAATAGTAGGTAAATGAGGTTCCTTTACCTACTATTGTAAATACCGACATTATCCAGTAGGCATGGGTTATACCGGAACCACTCCGATATATACATAGATATATATATGGTATATATCGGAGTAGTATATATATAGTGGTATATATATATATATATATATAATTAATAATTTAGACCATCGACTTGTCTGCTATTCAGGACAGTACTAAAAGAATCTGAAATTTCACATTAAATTATAATAATTGAATTAAGGTTTGTATTTCAACGAAGCCTATAAAGCTGACAGGATAAAATATTGATAGCGGAAATTAAACAAAGCTTATAAAGTCTATGTCTATCTTTTCACTTCACATTACTTAAATTTATTCTGAAATAAGACAATATATGTACAGAATTCAGTCTTGTGAATAGAGATAGACCAGTCAACTAATCAAATGTATTAAGTTTCTTAAGATAAATGTAACTGGATAAATACTGACGCCATTTGCTCTGTTTGTATTTAATTAACTCAAAGCCTATTGTTTAATTTAAAATTATAATAAATATAACCTATACCATATAATAAGAATCACCGTCTTAAGAAAAATCCAGATTACTCAATCCAAAATCATATATAAAAACTGTTTTCTAATTTCAAAGCCTTTTCAATATTCAGTATATAGTATAATATGTTTTAGATATTCTGCTTTGTCTGGTGCTAGTATTTCCGAAAATTAATATCTGAGTAGTTTCTCATCCGGCATTATTTATAATTATTATCACCACATATTATGTACCGTACCATAACTCCCCGTTAGCGTGCGAACTAGGAGGATCTGAAAATTTAAATAAGTATATAAATAAGTAAATAAATAAATTATTAATAATTAAGTGAATAAGTGTATGTGGTTCAAATATGTTCCATTTAGTTTTCATTTCTCTTTATAGTAACACGTACCTAACCTCTGGTATGTGTACTATAATCCTATCTATCTTTGAATATTTTCCAATTTTAAATAAAGAAATTTACTAATTAATAATTCAATTTTTGTTAACAAATTCTGATGCGCAAACAGTAAGTACTTCAAAAGCTCTGTGTTCCAAGAAATTACAAAGAATTCTATTTGTATTATAAATCTATTTTTTTTGCTTAAAGTTATTTATGCATTTATAAATAAATAATATGCATACAATATAGCAAATAAAGTTAAAATATACTTATAGCTAATTGATCTATCGTTACATTAAATACTTTTATATTTTCATTTGAGTTTTAGCACTGTACATTAACATATTGTATAGCTAATATGAAATAAAGGAAAAGAAACAAAAGTTGTTACAAAAGTTAGTCGTGGAATTTTGCTGTCAGCTGTCACGACACTTTGCATCCCTCACTTGGCTCACGTAGGGCGGGTAGATACCAAGTACCTATTTGACATACTTTTTATCCTTATTATATATTTTTTATTTGTAATAAGAGTTTGTAACTAATAAAACTAATAACAATATATATGTATAATCTGTTATATATTAAAGATAATTATTTTGCAGACCAACTTAATAATATGTAATTTAGCAGCATAGCATACTTAGGTACAAAACATCAAATACGTATTTTAATTAAAAATAGAAACTCGTGTGAGTGCACCTAGTTGTTGCTCAACTGTTTGACTTACGATAGTTAATAAAACCATTGAAGATGATATTATAGTTTGCTATCTGGCGGGGCATGTGTTAATTTGTTATTTTTACTGCTAATTTCGTATCTGGTAAAATAGTCAATTAATAAATTAACTGCGAAACAGCAAAGTAAGCAATTGAAATAAATTATGCAAGTCTTACGTATCTACAAGTAGGGATATATGTAAATTCTTATGTGTTTCTGTAGAATTCATTATATCCATGTCGTCTAAACGGTTGGATGAATTTTAATATTGGTGTCATTACATTATTCCTTAGGTATTTCTAATTTATTCATCAGACAATATTTTATCTTTATAATTTCGGTCGTTCAATTTATTTAAGCTTTATTTTGGTCTCATGATGAAAATACACATAAGCCATTTCCGTTAAAAAAATGAAACCATTAAGAATTGAATTACTTTGAGATCCATTGATGACACTGTACAATAAAACCACGAAGAATAAGGCAGGGTGACAAGAATAATAAAATATAAACTGAAAGGATGTTATCTTCTCTTTTATGTTATATATATATATATATATATATATTTCTCTTTTTATTATAGCAGTTTTAAATTGAACCATCATAATTTTATATTTACAAGTTTACTTTTTTTATGTAGGTACATATAAGCGATGTTTTATTTCCAGTTTTCAGTAATCAACTTATAACAACAATCTGAAGTTTGCGTTAAAATTGGTTTAGTATTTTTTACGAGATACCTGTACTCTGTCTGTCTATAAGTTTTAACATAGAAAAACAACTTCAAACTAGTTTATTTTAGCTACTGATAATGTTTAATCTCTTTAACTTTGTTAATAATAGCTACTCATGTAAATTATGAAGTAAAAAAGTAGGTATTACAAAGTATACTAGATATGTAGAATTATTGACAGTAAACGTGGTGTATAATAATAGAATACTGTATCTCCAGTATTATATGTATTCTGATTTAAATGAACGTGACCAAAATTTTGGGCGTCGTAACAAATCCCGAAGGAAAACAGGTGGAAAAATTAGACACGGTCGACTGAAGAAATTCTTTATCCTTTGCCAACAAAAGGAATTAAAAAATAAGAAAATATCTACCTATATTTCTTAAATATTTTTTTTATAATTCGAAAGTTAAACAACAAAAATAAGTAAAAGTACAAATGACACCAATATAGTACCGTACTCACCCAGGCAACACTACATTAAATATTATATTATGTATCAACATCATCAAAACAACCCATCAACTCCCACGGGTTTTCATTCATAAAAGGAAAATATTAACCTACTATTACCATGGTTGCAGGATAGATATACGAGTAGGGCAGTGACAATTATGAAAGTCATTAATATCAATTTCAAAATTATCATTACTTCATAATTGGCCTCGATATCGCATAGTACATACACACAGATACACATTAAAATAATGGTAAATTGAGAAACTCTTTCTTTTTGAAGTAACATGATAAGTGGGCTGTATTTTGTATACCACACACTAAAGGTATGTACAGAAATACGAGGTCTGTCCGGAAAGTTCGTATAAAAGTGTTCTGGAATGCGAGAAAGAGGAGTGGGGAGGCCAGGTAAGCGCAGGACCCCTTCCTTATGTCCCTAACAATGCTTCAGTTCTGGTCTGACCGCCGTGCGGTGCGAACTGGCTTGTCACGCCATCTGTGAAGTTACCTCTTAACGAAACCCCGTCGGCATGGAGCCCGCTTCCGTTGAAGAGCAGCGCGTCGTAATCAAGTTTCTCTCGAAACTCGGCAAGAATGGCCGTGAAATTTTTGCCGATCTCAGAACAGTTTATGGGGATGATGCTGTGAAGGAACCAACCGTCCACAAGTGGCTAAAAAGATTCAGAGAGGGCCGAGAAAGCGTTCAAGATGACCCACGTTCAGGACGTCCTTCCACTTCACATTCCGACGAAAACGTGGAAAGAATTCGAACTTGTGTTAATGGGGACCGTCGTTTAACGGTCAGACAGTCGTGTGGCACGAGTTCGTCCAGAATTGGCGCGAGAGGGGCGTTGGATTCTTCACCACGACAATGCCCCTGCCCACACCTCTCTTGTTGTCCGTGAGTTTTTGAGTAAAAATTCCATTACGGTGACCGAACACCCCCCTATTCGCCGGATTTGGCCCCGTGTGACTTCTTCTTGTTCCCAAAAACCAAATTGGTACTTCGGGGGCGGCATTTGGGGGACATAAATGAGATAAAAAAAGCTACGACGGGACAGCTGAGAAACCTACAACCAGAGGACTTTCAAGGAGCCTTCTCACAGTGGAAACGGCGTTGGCACAAGTGCATTATGTCACAGGAGGAGTACTTTGAAGGGGATAAAATTGATTTACCTGAATAATTGTAAAATAAAATTTTTAAAAAACTTTTATACGTACTTTCCGGACAAACCTCGTATATATATAGTGGAAAATATTTCTCCCACTTTCTTTTATGGCATTACGTAATTGTGAATAGATTAAAGCTGTTGTTTTCTTTGGGATACAAAAGCTTTTTTGGATTTCTTTTACAAGCTTACTTGTAGACACGATAAATTTAAATATTTGAAGGTTTTTATTGTAAAGCAAAATATGTTTATTTAGCTCTATAAGTATCAATAATCGAGATAGGTAAATAATAAATAACCTCAGTCGCACTTCGACAGCATTAATGCAATTTCAACCTAATCTATACGAACTCGATGATGGCTTCCTTCCTTGTTAAGACAGATTTGTCCACTTATATAAGTGCTCGTTTAATAGCAAAATAGCTCAAACATTAAAGATTCTCGTGGAAATGCCTATGCATTGCTAGAAAATGAATGATGTTTGATCAAAGGGGTTTATATTCACGTTTACCCTTATTTGTTAAATGCTCCATTGACACAGATGGGGAGAGAATTGTGTGAGTAATAAAAACTAGGAGCCTCATTCCTAGTAATATCTTTATGCGGTCCCTTCTGGAAATCATAGCAGTCAATTTCTAGTGAATTTATCATAGTGGGCTAACTGACTTGATTTTATACTCAACTATCATCTCTTAGTACTCCGTCTGAATAAATCCATAGAGGGCTATGAGTTTATTCTGGCGGTTTGTTCTAACCCTACCTGTGGACAAGTTACAACTACTCGTATTTCATTATCACCCATGAAAATACTTCATTGTCATAGATATATACATAATCATTTCATAGATACAATAATAATATACAAGTTGACAGTGGAATGACCAAAGCAAATAGCCATGGAATATTTTTTATGCCGTTATCTAACAAAAGTTTTCATTCCAAAGATCCAATGATCTTTTTTCTACATTGATACAATTATTTTCAAATTATTTCAAATAGGAGGACATTCTCAATTCGCTTGTATATATTTTGTGAGTATTTTATGAAATACCCTTGCTATATTTTAGTTCATAGAATTAGAAGGATAATACAATTATCATAGTTATAGCCTGTAGAATTTTCACAATTAAGACAAATAAAATGTCACCCATTCTATTTAAATCCATTAACCCATTTTGATCATTTACCAAGCAAATATTCAAATATTGATAGATTACATATATAAATATATACATACTCCTATAAAACATTGGCCACCTTTCATTAACAATGATTAAAAATACCAATGTGCCCTAAAGATACGAATCAACGATGGAAACTTTGAGGTTACATAAATAATCAGATAATGAAAATTAGAAAATTTAAAAAATCGCTGCCATTGCCATGTCTCGTGCTATGGAAATAATTATTTGCACTTTATTCAATAAAATGTAATATCTAGCTTAATAAGAGTAAGAAACCAACGCTGTAGGCGTGTAAACTCTAATATTATCTACCAGTTTCTTAACAGGTCAATTAGAAATCTAATATGATGTTTGAAGTGAAAATTTGATATTCTGAATAGAATCAGAAAGGTACATTTATCAGAAAGGTACAAGAAACATCTCAAATTATTTCACAGAAATGTTCTGATAGAAACCTACTAGTTCAGTAAATGGTTGAAGGGAAAAATGTATCCGGAGGGCATCTGTGTAATATATTTTCCGACGAATTTTACGTAAATATTTTTTATAATAATTTTCCAGTTTATTTTAAACACATTTCAAATAAAAAGAAAATAATTGAAATTCATTCTGAATCCAAAGATATAAAGTAAGATAATCCAAGTTAAATATGTAATCAACGATGTATTAAAAAAAAGCAAAACTCACATTCCTGTTTCAAAATTACATGAGTAACTTTTTTATTACACAAAATGATTTTTTTTTTTACTGTGACAAACTACCAAACTATTCCATTTAACTTACCGGACAATTATTAAAATTATATTCAACAAAAAAAACTATTTAAATTGTGGTAAAATTAGTTATTTTAATTTCAATACTAAACTATTGATCCAATTTTGATAAAATTTATATGGGACCAGTCTGTAAGTATATTCTTTCAGATAAAAAAAAAATGCGGTAACAAACATAGAAAAAATATAACCGCATTGAAAACCTCCTTCTTTTGGAAGTCAGTTAAAAAAAAAATCTACTGATTGTATTCATAGTGAAATGGAGTAAAAATACAATGTGGTGTAACCACTCTTTATTCTCAGATATCATAAGAAACTGCTAGAGGAATAAAGCACAATAGATAGACCACACCAGAATAACATTTCGAAATATAACCTTGTACTGAGCCATCCGGTTATCGTGGTAATAGACTAATATGTAGTTGGTCAATATCCTCTCTTATAATAAAAATAATGATTTTTCTCAACGCGTTATACAACGAGTGAACGAAACTTGGTAATGAAAACATTTACAATGTAAACAACCATAAAAACTTGAACAAGTACGTTGAAAACCGTTGAATAACGTTGTTTTCAAAGACAACATTAGGCACTCCTTTCTGAAACTGAAACCTTTTAAAATGTACATTGCCTTTATTTAGAAAACTTACAATAACATTGTCTTGTTTAACTAATGTTAATAGATTTTTACTTAGTTGCAATCAATAGAGTTTTCTACCGTGTTGTATCTATATTAATTTCGTCATGATTCATTATAATTAAATTCCCAATTATTTTTTTGTGGACAAATCTTATATTGTTATTATAATACAGATATAAATTTTTAAAAATTTTATAAGGAAAATAAATACAGATAAGCATCTATAAAAAATATGTAATTTATTATAATGTTTCTACCGTGAAGCAGTTGTGTTTACATGGCTGTGTTTCGGTTTGAAGGATGGGATATGGCGTGAATTTACAGGGTACAGAGGAATAACACCTGAGTCCTCAGGAATGGCAACGCATGGGGGTATCATGGGCGAAACAGTATACTCTGTTATGTCCATGGTACTGCTCATGTCTATAGGCGACGGTTACCACTTTTCATTAGGTGGGCCGTTAGCTTGTTTGCCATTCTAAGTTATATAAAAAAAATTACTTTTAAAAAATCAACTAAAAAGTCATGTCCAGAGAATTCTTTTTTCCTATTCTTACTATATCCAAGAATACCTAATGCCTTTCACGAAAATGGGCTAGATTTTATATTTTACTTAGCTTTAAAGAATTATTATAAAAATACATTAATAGACCTATGCCCGATAGACCAACGTTAATGTGTTAATATGGTATGGTAAGTTTGTATTCGTATTCTACAAAAAAGCTTCTAACTTGATATAGTTTGTATGTACCATATTACTACCAAAAATTTTCTTTACGTTAAGAAAACAATGATGCAAAATCAATTTAAAAATACAAAAAGAACAAAGTCAAATTAAGAACTTTCTACTTTTTAAAGATTGAATTGATAAAAGATAACAAACATGCGACCTATTTGCAATAGTTAATTTTAAACTTTCACGTTATTTTCATATACATAATTTAAATACACATTCGGGACTTTACACGATGAATAAACCTTTGTAGGTAAATAGTACTTTATATAGTTTTTTTATAGCCGACGTTTCGACGTGGATTTCACCACGTCGTGGTTACGTCAGGACCAGTGACAAGACAGGCCACGTCGAAACGTCGGCAATAAAAAAAGGTATGTAGGTTTTTTTTTATCGCGATAAGTCCCGATTGTGTATTTAAACTATATATAAACAACCCGAAAGTTTAATAATTTTAAACAACAATCTAATTAAAAACTATTGCAAACATACGACCATCTACATGATGGCCAGTGGTAAATGTCGTAACGTCCTAATGATAAATAGTAAATAGTATCGCCTAAAGATATGTGTAAACACCTGGCCTTCCCAGATGCCGATAATACACTGTCACTCCTCAGAAATATGGTATTTATAACCTTTGTGTCAATGATTACATTCTTACCCTCTAAACCGATACACATATATCGCATGCGTTGTTGGTTGTTGTTACACACGTATATTTTACTCCGTAAAAAACAACTTTAATCATGAACATGGGTTCATATATGTATATATGCTAAAAGACAAGATCTTTCATTGACACATTACTTTAAAAATAATAGACACTGCCCATCACTAATTCTGTATATTCATATACAGAAATGGCGACATAATTTAGCCACAAAAAAACGGACTAATAAAGAACCTCCTTCTAATAAAAGATCCTAAAACATGTAATTACACAACACTGATTAACCTGGAAGATACATCTTCTATCTTCGAACTTGAAAAAGCAAATTACCAAACTCTTATTGTCATTATTGATTAACTACGATCTTTAATAAAAAAACAATGGCCGAAATTCTCTTGAGGAATTTTTGGGGGCGTCGATAGTTGGAGTGGTATTTTTTTTATATATCAATATATATAAGTATCCCCTCACAGAGTGGATAGTAGGTAGATAATTACATTGATCGCTAGCCCTTTTGATCTTTAGTTTTGAAATAAAACGTGGGTGCGAAAAAGAAACATTAAATACACCTTCGGAAAGGACGTTAAACCTTTAATCTCAATTATTATTAAATATATATTATAAAATACGCTATACTTACTTTATGACAATATTTTTACATGAAAAGCATTTGAAGACTCTATATTGACCTCACGGGCACCGAGTATTTATTTTTTACAATATTATTCTAATATTCACATTTTTAATTTGCCATGTAATAAGAACTACTAGGTACTTACTTTTTTCTGCATCTTAAATAATATAAAAATAAATAAATATTCCTCACTATTGTAACCCTTGATGTAACTAGAAGGTAACTAGAAGCAGTCGACGACTGTCTCGGTGTAGTGAATGTACGTAACATCTAATTTGAAAACCAATAGAATAAACTGTTACCAGAAAAACTAACGTGTTTTACGGGGTGATGACATTCGTAACGATGTTTCTTTTCATGAAAATTGCTAAATTATCGTTAGATTGGACATAAAATCTGACGTTACCTCGCATAATAATCATATCTGCAGGTAATATAAAAGTCGTTGAGCTATAAAATAAATGTTAAGTCAAGCAATATAAATCAGAATTGAAAAAAAATTAAATGTTATCTTATGAATTAGTATCTATTATTTTTATGCGTTTATACTCGTTTACTAAATTAACTGTATTCATAAATTGACGTAAAAATATATAAAAATTATCTATACTTACGATAATCAACTTTTTAAAGTTTATAATTATTCACCGTTGTTTATACATCACAAATGAACTGTTATACTTATTGAAACGATGTTATTAATAATATTTAATTTCTCTATCTTCCAGATCACTGGTTCGAGTTCAGATTAGTTCAATTCAATTTTACGTTCAATTTGTCACCATTAGTGTACCGATTACACGCTTGCATTAGAACGAATAAAACCCACTCGCGACCGCCACGACTTGCTCGCAGGCGATTTCAGTTGCGACTGAAGGAACATTACAATCAACTTCTATAACGCTTTATCTCAGGTAAAAAAAAACTATTACACCTGCTACTGTACATCAACAATAAACTTACCACTGTACTGTGGCTTTCAAGCTGCACTTTAGACTCGCATTTCTATATGAAAACATTGTATAATCTCATAAATCTTAAGATGCAATGCTAATTGCTGTTGCAATGTATTATAACATGATGTATGTATGTGTTTTTTATGAAATTTCAGGTCTATTAATAAATATAAAAAATTATAATCACATTTAATTGTTTAAAAAAAATTTTAATTTCATCGTATTTTTTTTATATAATTGAGGTCAGTTTCTGTAAATCATTTTTAAGCAAGTACTTATTTACAATATTAATAAGGTAATGATTGTTTGTAAATAATATATATTAAGAATATTATTAACACTATATTATATTGTTTGTTGTGACTAAAAAAAATCGAAACTGTTAATTTTATATTACGTGTGTTTAGTTTAAAAATCTTGAAGAACAATTATAATTAATTTAAATAAAAGGAAAAAATAAGAATACTTTAATTTAATTAATATTTTTTTTTAATGAATGATAATTACAATTTATTGTATTTATTATTTTTGTAAATGCTTAAATAAAATGTAAATAAATAAATAATTTCCAAGTTGAATAAATGTAATTAATTAGAATGTCATTGCTCTCATGTTCTTTCTCATTGGAAAATACGGTAACTGTATACGTCATCAAAACTTAATACCTAGCTGCAGGTTCACAGGTAGGTAAGTACAATAAACATTAGGTAGACATTTTTTCCTGTTGACTGTTTAATAATCCGTATGTAATTTGATCAAGTAAACTACATACATGGAAGACAGTTAAATTTTTTCATATATGTATATTGTATATAGAATAATTTTCTTAAACAAATTGCAAATCACAGACAAATAAAGTAGAAGCAATATTATTCAAACAAAGGATGATAAAAAGTAGCATAAAACATATTTCTTTATATATTTTTCAACATTTTCTGGGAAGATAATCAACGGAGGCGTACCTATTTGAAGATCTCAAAATCTTCAATTATTTTTCCTTAGATTATTCAGTAAGTACATGCTACAAGCGCTGCCTGCGACTTCGTTCGCATAATCGGGAAATTTCTTGACCGGTATTAAATATAGTTTAATTTTTTTTTATAACACAAGGGGCAAACAGACTTGTGTCTATGTAATATTTTACAATTGGTTAAGTTAATATAATGTCATGAAGTATCAAACAAACACACATTAATATCCTACTGATTAATAATATTACTAGTTTTTACCTGCGATTTCATCCGCATATGTTTACTGACCGGGTTAAAAAGTAACCTATACCCTTCTCCATCCCACATAATACGTGTATATCTAACCTTATAGTGACTAATTAAGCCGTTAAAGTGTTGTACCTTACAGCAAACACTAACGAACAAACAAACTCTCTTTCACAATTATAATATTAATAAGAATGTTACTCGCTAACTATGACTTTTTCATATAAATTAGAATAATAATAGGTATCTTACTCGTTAATATAAGATATAATCTATTTGCATACAAAATTTCATTGAAAATCCATTCATCTATTACAACATAATTTAATAACAAATAGGTATCCTAACACCTTTACTAACTTGCAGAATTATAAGTAAGGATAATCCGGTGATAAGTAACAAAATATTCTTCAGGGAGGTTATTACGCAATAACATGTTTTCGTGTAATGGTAACACGGGAAAACAAAATATTATTCTTGGAAAGCTCAAATCCATATATGTATAAATGAAAGAAAAACAAAAGATGAGTACAATGCAATAATTTTGCTGAATGTATCTCCGAAACAATGCCGCTGTCGACGTAATTGAAAAATAATCATTAACCAACTTCTTTCAAAATTTTTCATTAAAAAATACCTGTATAATAAATAAATATTAATACATTTAAAATTTAATTAAATAAATTAAACTAAATAACAACTCTAAATGGACCTTTCACTTTATTTTGGGCAATAAAACATATCGCCATCATCCTCAGGAATGGCACTACATGAAGAGGCATCACAGTACATTACAGTACAGTATATTCTATGATGTCTGAGTATATATATCTACAGGTGACAGTTGCTGCTCTCTATTAAGTGGGCCGTTAGCTTTTGTTTCATTCTATAATAAAAATAAACTTTAAAATATATTTAATTATCCCAAACAATCTTTAATATAATCACTTTCTAATAATCAGCATCCTTTTTTTCATCAGAGTTACGGGTTTTCTTTTTGGCCAAATAGTTAAACATTCACGATTAATTCTTAAATAAATATACACAATTTTTTATTATTATCACATCAGTCATGAACTGTCTACTACTAAACATAAACCTCCCTCTATTGGGGTGTTGTGCCAGTAGTTGCCTTCCTTTAGTCCCCTCTTACGACACCCACAGGAAAGGAAGGACGCCATTCTATACCGGGACCAAACTCTAATTTAATATTGACTAATAGTTTCATTGTTTTAAGCAAGTACAAACTTATCATTCTACATACATACGTTATACACAAATAGCCACAATTTTCCATGAAACATGACAATGAAATTTCGAAGACTAAGAGATAGAGACAGATCCTTTCAGAATCACAGACATCACCATGCCACTTACTCGTGTTCTAATTTGCGCTTCCTAACGACTACAAATCGAAAACAAAAGCAACCAAACTTGTAGATAACTAAATTTCGACTCATTTGGTAAATAAACGGAAGTGGGACCTTTTTGCTGGTAGGCGGTAATGGTTTTAACGCAAATCTCACAATAGTTAAAGTGAAATCGGAATTAATGGTCACCGCACACAACACGTCTTTGTAATCTATGGATTTTGTGGGCCTTGCGGATTTCGTAGCTCCAGTGGGAGTCGTTTTATGTCACCTCTTATACCACAATACTGTCGACGCGGCCCCGTTTCACAAAATTAAAGAAGCCACGGTCGTATTCATAGATTAAGAGTACCTAGGACGCCAAAGGATATCCCCGTATTGTGTATTGTTTTTTATACTAGGAAAGTTTGCCACCTTCGTACACAGCCCGCTACAAGCATACAGCCCGTCTGATGGTAAATGCAACACTAGACGTGACGCGCGGGGTATACTAAAAATCATTTTTTTTTTATTTTAATTTTATTTTCAAGGACCATTTAAGGCTTTTAAGTTTTTGTTTTTGTTTTCAAAAGTTCTTTATTTATCATAAGTGTTTACAAATATAATAAATTCCAGTGTACGTAAGCCTAGAATTTACAATCAGCCATAAATCGTTTGGCGAGTAATATACACTCCTTCAAACATTTAAAATAGAGATACAAGTATCTATAAATCTACACAACATAAAAAAACTTACATTACATGATGTAACTTATTGATTATAATCATAAAATAAACACAAAATGCACATATTTGTAAATTATGCATTATAACAAAAAAAAAAAAAATCATACAATTATTTTGGGAGGGTAGTTTGAACCCAAATAGTACCAAGTTGGTAACAGGTAGCAGTAAGTAAGTAAAGTAAGCAGGTAGGTACCAAGCGGCAGGTATCAGCAGTCATGACTGTCGAGAACTGTGCGAACAATAGAAACAGAAATGGTGCGTGCCATCTTAATCCTTACTTCAGTATGCAAAAAGAGTGATTACGGTCTGAAGTAAAATATTATTCGAAGTTTAGAAACCAGTGATGGGGCAATTTATATCTTTTATATTTATCGATAAAAGGTAAATTGCTGGTTCGTGTTATACAGATCCTATTAATTAGTGGATTGTTGTGTTTTATATTAGATTTAAGATAAAATTTTTTGGATAAGTTATAAATAAATTGTCTAATAGTAGGAAAACTAATTCGAGTGTGGAGCGTAATTAAATTAGTATAATATGGTGTATTAAAAGCCTGTTTAAGGACTTTATTTTGAACAGTTTGTAACTTTTCTATATTAGAAACACTAGTATTACACCATACCGGGCAAGCATAAGTTATACAGGGTCGAATTAAAGTTGAATATATATGTAATTTAGTGTGAGGGCTTAGAGGTGACCTACGTTTTAAAACGCGATTCAATGCATTAATAGCTGTAAATCCTTTGATACGTAAATCATGAATATGATCATTCCAATTTAATTTCTTTGTTAATTTTAAGCCTAGATATTTAACTGAAGAACTCCAAGGAATATCGACACCATTTATATTAAGTTGTCTTTTAGGAATTGTCTGTCTTCTTGTAAATAATATTGCTTCTGTTTTAGAAGCATTAATTTTGAGTTTCCAAGTTTTGAAAAATATAATGAGGAGATCGATTGAGAGTTGAAGTCTACTAATAACTAAGTCAAGGTCCCGGTCGGATGTAAATGAAACAGTATCATCAGCATAACAAGCTAAATTTGTACGCGTTTGTATGGGAATATCGTTTAAAAATAAAAGGAACAAATACGGGCCTAAATTAGAGCCCTGGGGAATCCCAGCAGGCATATGTTTTGCAGTAGATGTAAAGTTCAAGATGTGAACCCTAAAATAACGGTCAGTTAGATAAGATTGTATAATTTTTACTAACGGTAGTGGTATGCTATTAATAATAAGCTTATGTAGAAGTCCATTGTGCCAAACAGTATCGAAAGCTTTTTCTATGTCTAACAGAAACATACCTGTAGTATTATTTAAATTCAAATTATAAGAGATAATTTCAGTGACCCTAGCTAGCTGCTGAACGGTTGAATGTTTTTGGCGGAAGCCAAATTGTTCATTAATTAGTAAGTCCTCCGAAGCACGTGATAGACGATATAGTATGATAGACTCAAATACTTTACCTAAACAAGGTAACAAACTAATGGGTCGATAATTTTCAGGGCAACTGGTGTCTTTACCATGTTTAGGTATACCAATAATTTTTGCCGTTTTCCATTGAGATGGAAAGTAACCAAGAGCTAAGCAGCC